GTAAGACATTTGTTTTCAGTAGGCCAGTTATTTAATTCACTCATTCAGTGAGGTTTTCTCTATTGAATCTGTGACTACTATTTTTATCTAAGATTTTCTGTGCACTGTATCTTGAGTTACTATTTGTATAACAAATAATTAATAGTGGCAAGTCATAGTGTTCTCATTCTAAAGTCTAGATTTATAGCTTTAAATTTTAAGAATTTGGCAAAACATGTTGGAGAGTATTTGGAAGAAAACCAGCAGGCATGCTAGGTTCTCAAGAAAGCTTTGACAATGAAAAGAAATATTTGAGATGCTTGTAAATCACCTGTAACAGAAATAATTATATGTAGAAGAAAAATAATATTTTTTAAATAGAAGATATTATTTAATATGATATGTGATGATTAAAATGGATCTTCAATTTTTTTTAAAACGTTTGGATATCTATTGCTTTATAACTCAGAAAATGCCTAAACAGTCTTACTTATAATTTGTATTTATTAGAATATTTAAAAAGTGGTACGCTTTGTTTCTGAACAATATGCCAATATTATGAGAACTTTCAACATGCCAGTTTATTTAAGAAGGAATGTAAATGCTAACATTCCCCTGTTATCAAAGGACAACGGATCTTGGCTTGTTTCCTGTTGCTGTGATAAAACAGTAGCCAAGAACATTGTAAAGGAAAGAGTCCATGCTTCCAGGTAATTGTTTTACTCTGTGGGAAGTCAGGGCAAGAGCTCAAGGCAGTAGTGAACCAGAGACCAGAAACCATGGAAGAATGCTTCTTTCTGGCTTGCTACCCAAGGCTTGCTCGGCTACCTCTCTTACATAGCTGAGGCCCACCTGCCTAGGATCAAACCACTCACTGTGAGCTAGGCCCTTCTGCATTTATTAGTAGAGTGCCTCACAGATTCCTTGGAGTTTCTTCAATTGAGTCTCCTTTCCAGGACTGTCAGGTTGAAAACCAAAATTAGCTAACACATAACACAATACAAAGATATACTTTGTAATGGCCATAAATTTGCCAAATGTTTTGGAAGCACTTTGATATTGTAAAGACATCTATACTTTTGCCCAAATATTTTGCTGATATGAGTTTGTGCTATGGGAATGATATGCTCACAGGCATGAACTGATGTTTATATAATGGAACTCACTGCATCATCACCTCTAATGCTGCAGGACTGAGAACCCTCTAACGCCACTCACAGGTGATTGTCTAACGATTGTGTTATTCATAAGACGAAATCTGTATCTGAAAAATAAAACAGGAAATCTGTTAGGATGAATATAGATTGGCCTCAAAATTATATGTGAAATTTAAGATGCTGTGATGGGTGAAGGTCTGCAAATACAGGTAGGAGAAGATTTCATGTAAGTAAGTAAATGTGCTTTGTTGAGTGTTTTCAATATACTTCATAAGACGGAGGAGAGCATAGCACGTGGTTGCCAGTGGAAAAGCAAGGTTAATTATATGATTACAAGGCAGAAAAGGGTACTTTTTATTAAATTGATTTTCTGTAGTACCTGTGAAGTTTTTGAGCCATCAAAATACATTTGTTTTTAAATGATATGAATTTCAATAGTGAATCATAAAATCTTAGTACCAAAATCTTCTGCCATGATGTGCTCAAGCTTTCAACCTAACCCGAATGGGGCAATGAGGGGATTATAAAAGGACAGACATATAGAAAAGTTGGGGTAAGGTACACCATGCCCTTTGGTGGAGCTATACCAGCAGCCCAGAAACCTGGCATGTTTATGACCATTGCTGACAGAGGAGATGGCTTATTATACACAGCTGTGTGAGGAGGAAATGGGCTAGCTTTGACTGATAGGGAGCCTTTATAGGCGACCAGTTTTAGGCTGAAGACATCCGGGATGAGGACGCGTGGTTGATAGCTTCTGTAAGCACTGGGTATAGCAAAAGGTCAGTTGTTTGTACAATGTCTGCTTGGCTATTCTTCTGAGCCTGACCCGGGAAGGCCTTGTCATGTCCATGAGTCTGAGGTATTGAGAGTTTCTGACACGGGGGGGGGGGGGGGTTGGTGTCATGAACACACACTCATTTAGAACTTCCTCCACCTTCTACAATCTCAGCTCATTTCTAGTCTACATTACATTAAGCAGGCACTAACATTTACATATTTACATAGTGTGTATGAGTGTTTATGCATATTATATTCTAGAAGCATAAATTAACCTTCTCATTGAAATTCAGATGTATATGGCAGAAAAACCTTAAAACCAAATTAGATAGAATTTTTGCACTCAAAATAAGGAATAAATTCCAATTGCCCGTAGGAAAAATTAATTTTTTTCTTAATCCCACTGTCATGTATATTGCAGAAGGTAATCTTAAGTATTTTGGAAGCACTTTTATGTCAAGAACAGTTTATACACAACATTACACACTAACAAAAAACACATTGTATTTAGAGGTTAAGAAGGCATGCTAGAAGGTAGTGTGCAGCCTTCACCTTGTGAGAGCTACATCCTGATCTGCCAGCAGAGAGAGGAGGGGGTAGAGAGGGACAACCAGAGGGAAAGAGAAAGGCTGGGCCTGGTGTGGCCTTTTGAAACCTTACAGCGCAACCTCAGTGACACACTTCCTCCAACAAGGGCACACGTCTTTTTAAAAAAATTATTAATCACATTTTACAATTTATTCACTTCGTACCCAGCTGTAGCAACCTTCCTCTTCCCCTCCCAACCCCACTCTCTCTCCTTCTTCTCCCCCAGTGTCTCTCCCCCAATCCCCTGATAGTGGAGGTCCTCCTCCTCTTCCATCTGACCCTAGCCTATGAAGTCTCATCAGGACTGGATAAAGGAAAGCTACACCTCTTAATCCTTCTCAAATTGTGCCACTCTCTGGAGCCTAAAATGGCCATTCTTCTCTAAAAATAAATAATAGTGCACAAATAGTCTTTTTAAATGTTGTTTTAAAGATCAACAGTGGAAAATTGATAGACAAATGAGATCATACACCAAGTGTAACTTTCAAATTGTGTTTTTGTCACATTTGTTTTTTTATCTCTCAGAAATCAAATAAGAACCTGGCACGTGTAAAAATTTTAATGAAACTATTTCTGTCCCCCAGGAGGGCCATTGAAATTAAGTAAAAAGCCTTGCTAATCTTAATAAAGGTTGAATGACAAGACGTGAACACATTGCAAGCACATAGTGCTCTCATCTGTTTCCTTTGCAGCCATCACTAGAATCAATCCCATTCAAGTCGTTAAATCATTCTCTCTTACAATTCTGTGCTGTATGCACTGGCAACACTGGCTTATAGTCCTGCGATTCTTCTCTGTTAAGAATACTAACAAAGTTTTCTGCTATACTGTTTTACTATGTTAGTCAAATTCCATGCCCTAAAGGTTTTCATGGTATTAATTATTCTATACTCAAAACAAATGCCTATAGCTACTCCCACAGTCCCTAACCTTTCTTATCTTAATTATTACTGTTACATATACATACATGTATGAACTTGTGTATATATCAAAAGAGCTTGCTGAGCGTATTTAATGGTAATTGTTTGTATATATGCTTAGGGTTATCTGTTTGGGATTAGATAACCTATTCACGAGCTGATTCTCCCTCCCTAAGCAGCCATTCATTGCCTGTGGCACATCATTCAGGGGTGGAGCCTTGTGAAATGTCCCCTTTCCCTGCTGGAATGTCAGCTGGTGCTGTCATCATATGATTCTTGTTTAAGTGAACATATGGATATGAGGTCATGAGCGCAACTCCTTGTCTGCTTTAATTGCTATTTGGTAACCCACTGGGGCCAAATCATCTTGGGGAAGGAAGGGTTTATTTCAGCTTACAACTCTCAGGTCACACCCAACTTCTGAAGGAAGCTAGTGAAGGAACTTGAAGCAGGAGCTGAAGAAGAGGCTGTGAAGTTGTGATAACTAATGACTGGCTCCAAATGGCTTATTCGACCTGTTTTCTTAAATAACTGAGGACCATCTGCCCAGGATGGCTCTGGGACTCTGTAGGATGGGCTGACACAGCAATCATTAATCAAGAAAATGCCTTACAGACTTGCCTACAGGCAACACAATGGAAGTATTTACTCAGTTGAGGTGTCTCTTTCCAATTAATCTGATGTCTGTCAAGTTAAAAAAAAAAAAAAAACTAATATTGGATAGAAATACTGGATAGAAAACAGTATCTTTCAGAAGATTTCCGGGTCCTCTCATTCTTAGAATCTTTCTTCTCTTTGTTATTCAGTGCTTCCCTAGCCTTACATGTGCCTGTGGGCAAAGATATTTCTGTCATGTATGCGGAATGGCCCTGTGTATAATCAAGCACACATGGATTGACTTATGTTATAAAAGTTGTATACATTCAAGGGAAACTACACTTGCAATATTGATTCAATATACCATATGATAATTTCTTACAATGCTGGGCTACAGCCACAAGTCACACTTCCCAGCCAGGCGCGTGATTAGGTTGTTATCAGGGAGTATTGTATTCCTCAACTTTGGTGGTCAGTAGCTTGGACATTTTGAGTGGAAATTTAACTTATAATATTTCAAACTAATGATGGGTAATTAAGGCTGTAGCTGCACTTTAAGTTAAAAAGCATGTGAATAAGGTTATAAGAGGCATTTGTTTGTATGTATTTTAACAGTTATTTTCATTTTGTTTTGTGTAACTTTATATTTCATTAAAGACAGCTACAAATAGGTTGTGATTTCACCTATGCTACAATAAGATTTTTATTTGCTTTGAAGTCACAAATGCTATTATATCAGGTCTGCCACTTAATTGGTTATGGGACTTTAAGAAAGCTATTCCCCAAACATTCTTTGGTTCTTACATATTATTTTCATCAGGAAGAGAGATAATAAAAGTACTAAGTAGCCTTTTATAGGTCTAAAATACTGAGACACTCTCTGTAAATTGTATCATAGTGTGTGACATATGAGTTGTAAGTTCTATTAATAATATCTCCTATTCTATACTATATATCAAGCACATGCTCAACTTTAAGA